GGCCATTGAGGAGCTTCTCCGCGATTTTGCGCTCGTGGCCGCCAGGCACGGGCCAGTTGGTGCGCAGTTCCCGCTCGCGCCGCGTGCGGCCCTTGCTGTGGCCGGCCCCGCAGGCCGGGAAGTCGCGCAGGTAGTAGTAGTCGAGGCAGTCCGAGAGCTCCTCCTCGGAGCTCGCCTCGGGCGGCAGCAGTTGGGCCTGCGTTTTGGCTGTGGGGAGGGCTGGGTCCATCGCGCCCGGCAGGCCGCCGGCCCGCGCACGCGCGCGCCTCTGGAGGCCCCGCCCCGCGCTACGATTGGCTCCGCCCGGGGGCGGGGTCTACGCCGACGTCACAGAGCTGGGCTTGTGTCCTGCGCGAGGTCTCTGCGTTCCCGCTGGGAGAACCGTGACCCCAACCTCTGCCTGGGCGTGTGTACCCCCAGCCCGAGGGGGCAGTTGGCAAAATCCTACCCTGCGCTTCATTTATGTTGGTCAGAAATGGTCAGTTAGCATGCACAGAGGAAAGGCCACGTGAGGGCAGAGCAAAGAGAGAGGCCTCAGGAGGAACCAACCCTGCTGACATCTTGATCTGACTTCAGCCTTTACAACTGTGAGACTATGAATTTCTGTTGTTTAACATGCTCCCCCCCCAAAAAAAAATGAACTATCCAAGTGTCCTTAGAGACTGCTTAGAGAAAATGAGGGGTTGTATATTCCTCCGGAGCACTTTTTTCAGCAGTAAACATGTCCTTAGGCTACTTGATGTCAGGAGAAAGTGCTCAATAATGATGTAAGTGGAAAATTATCTTCTGAAGAAATGCCTCCAGTATCCCAGGAACTTATTTTAAAAACACATTTGTCTATAAAAGACTGAAAGAAAATTCACCAACACAATAAAAGTATTTCTGGTTGGTAGGGTTATACATTAGTTCTTTTTCCTTCCCTCAAGTCCATGTTTTTGAGGAGTAAGAGTTCATTGTATTAAAAGAGCTATTAGAAGGAAAAGCACCCTGCCTGCTGCAAGGCCCAGAACCAGGGCAATTTCAGATTATCCGTAGGTGCCAGCATCCCAGTTCTGGAGGTATAAGCTTGATGACCTGGTGCGCTGGCAGCTTCTGGAGAGGGCAGAGTCCCGAGCTGCAGCCCTGGGGAGGGTGTTCCAGAAAGCAGCAGGGGCGTGAGGAATCCAGTCAGCTGAACTGATCACAGTAAACCCTGGGAGTTACTGCGAAAAAGGCCTTTGTTTGGATTTGGTTTAATTATGTGGGGAGAAAAAAGGGATTACTATGGAAAGTAACCTCACAGGGTGATCTGATTGTAAATTCCTAACTGAGCAGTCGTGGTGGTTAGTCATGCCCTAGGCATACAACTTTTTAGTAAAAGGCATATTTTTGCCTTAAGCAAGCCAGGTTTGTTGTTTCTGTGCATTTAGGTTAGTTAACATACCTTAGAAATAACTGTAACCACCCTCAAGAGAGCACATGAGAAGCAAGAGAGACTTGCTTCTCCTTCCACCATGTAATCTTCCTTAAGTTCCCTTCTTAGTTTCAGATGCGTAAAAGAAGCTGCCAAACCGTTATTCTCTGGAGCACTTGAGATCATCCTCCCTGGCATATGTAGTCAGTTCGTCTCAAACGCATATAAAGCTTCTCTATAGGTTTGGAAGTTTCTTACATTGACAACTGCCACAAAAGTTGCAGCCACTCCCTTTCTTTTTAATAGATCAAAAGTAATTCTCTATTTAAAAAAGAAAAGGACTTCCCAGGTATTTGATTCTGCCGAGTTTGTTTGTGACCGAGTTGCTGATTTTAGTTTTTTTCTTCTGCTTTATGAAGGCTTATCCCTGGTGACGTGTGGCCTACATACCTCACTCTGAGGGCAATTTTGGTGGTTCTTTAAATGAACAAGTCCCAGGAGAGTGTTTTTAATTAAACACCAGAGGGGATTTTCTCTTACATCCACATGTCTTACATCTGCTATTGGGAAAAACAGAAACTAATATTTATCCCTATACCACTCTCCCATACATTATCTCTTTTTAAAAAATCTCTGTAGAATTTGTCCTTATGGAAATATTCAGACATTCTCAAAGATGGAAAGAACAGTGAACTCCCATATCCTATAATATGGATTCAAGAATTATCAAGATCCTGTTACATTTGCTTCATGTATCACCCAGGACCCTTCAGTCCGAGGTTCAGTCCAATGCTGTAACCACTGAACCAAACCAGATGGGGCATCTACTGCAGCATTTTAGATCAAATTGCAGACCTTATGTCATTTCACCCCTATATATCTTAGCATACAGCTCTAAAAAACTAGACATTTTTTCTATAACTGCAAAGCCATTTTTATACTGGACAAAATCAACTGGTCCTGTTACTATCTAATACTCAGCCCAAATAAAATTTGATTGCTTAAAAGACATCAAAATACATACAAGTCAGAATACATACAAAATCTATGCCTGGCTGGTGTGACTCAGAGGTTGAGCATTGACCTAGGAACCAGGAGGCCACGTTTCAAATCCTGATCAGGGCACGTGCCCGAGGTTTGGTCTCAATCCCCAATAGGGGGCGTGCAGGAGGCAGCCAAACGATGTTTCTCTCTCATCAATGTTTCTGTCCCTCTCTCTGAAATCAATAAAACCATTTTTTTTTAAAAAAGAATACACACAAAATCTATACCTGAAATTTGCTTGTATGGCTTTTAAGTCTTTTAAATTAGAGCAGTCCCCTGCCCTTTTCATTTTTCTGACATTGCCTTATTGCAGAAACTGGGTCAGTAAATGTGGATTTTTCTGCTTCTTGTGGTGTCATTTAACTTGTCCCTTTCTCTCCCATATTTCCTTTAAGTTGAGGTTGGATCTAGAGGCTTGTTTATACTCATTCATTTTTGAAGGCAAGAAACTTCCTAGGAAGTGATGTGTTTTGGCATCACACCAGAAGGCTCACAATGGCTCGTCCCAATTTTAGTAATGCCATGACTGATCCATAGACTCAGGTGGTGACAATCTGTCCCTGCAGTTGTAAAGTTCTACACTAAACTTTTATATCATGGTTTCACTGTGTTTCATTACTTTATTTGCTATTATATTCATTTGCTATTATTTCATCAGGAGTTGTGAAATAGTAATTTGCTAATTCAATCCTTCCTTCCGCATTTATTAGCTAGAATTCTTTCCCTCATGAACTAAGACTATTTGGTTACCCTGAAATACATTTTCACAAGAAAAGCAGGACAAATGATTGATTCTTCCCGTTTGAAGATGGGTTTTCAGGAGTTCCAATGGACTTCACTTTTTCCTTGAAAATCATTATGAACTCATGGATCTTCTTAAAACTCAGTCCATGTATTTCAATCAATTTCATTCATTTTTTTTTCTCTTTTTATGCTCCAATTTTTCCATCTTTGACCAGTGGGAGCTCCTTCATGTGATTATTTATATATATATATAATTTTAGAGAGGGAGCCAGAGAAACATTGATTTGCTGTTCCATTTACTATTTTTTAATCTTCACCCGAGGATATTTTTTCCATTGCTCTTCAGAGAGAGTGGAAGGGAGAGAGAGAGAAACATCAGTGTGAGAGAGACACATTGATTGGGGCCAGGGATTGAGCCTGTAGCCAAGGTACGTGCCCTTGGCTGGAATCAAACCCAGGACCCTTCAATCCACAGGCCTACGCTCTAACTACTGAGCAAAGCAGCTAGAGCTGTTCCACTTATTTTTTAAAATTTTTTTGTAAATAATGTTTTTTTTTAAGCTTCACCTGAGGATATGTTTATTGATTTTTATTTTATTTTTTAGAGAGAGGAAAGGGGAGAGAAGGGGAGGGGAGAGAGAAACATTGATGTGAGAAACATCGATTGGTTACCTCTCGTATGCACCCCAGCCAGGAACCAAACCTACAACCTAGGTATTTTCCCTGACCAGGAACCTTTCCATGTACAGAACAACACTCCAATCAAATGAGCCACCTGGCCAGGGCACTGTTTTAATTATTCATGCATTCATTGGTTAATTCTTTTATGTCCCTGACTGGGGATCAAACCTGTAACCTTGGCGTATGGGGACAACGTTCTAAACAACCGAGCATCCGGCCAGGGTGATTTTTTGTTCTTTTGGCATTAAACTAGTAGTCTTGGGGAATGTTTTCTGGTAAACTAAAATGTCCAGGCTCATCTTGTACATTTTATGCCCCCGACCTGAAATCAGCCATTTCTCCAAGGAGTCCTTGATCTGTTTAGTGTGGAAAATGGATTTATAGACAACAGTGTTAATGTATTATGTCCCTTGATCTTTACAAGAACCTTGTGAGATCTTACTGTCCCAATTTTCTAGACGAAGGAAAGTTTAACAACTTTCCCAGGGTTATATAACTAATAAAAAGCAGAGCCAGAGACAGATCTTCTGATGTCTAGATAATGCTTCTTCCATTTTACTGTGCCTCTTGGTATGAACTCATTACTTTTTAGTTCACAGATTGCTAAACATCTCCGACATCCTAGCTTCTGAGTGGTATTTAAAAGCAACTGCTACCATCTGTCTTGCTCTCCTACCCAAGGACTCTAAGCTAATGCTAATGACATTGAGTAGTAAGATTTTAAGATGGACTTTGTTTTTGTTTAGTGTTTTAACTCTAGACTCTGGGGATAAACAACTTACAATCATGCTTTAGGAGCAGACTTTAATTCTTTATATTAGCATAACTATGCACAGATTATTATTTTCTGTCTTATTACTTTCTCAATGAATCTTTGCAACTACCTCATGAGGTATTGGAAAAGGAAATGGAGATTCATTCAGGTCATATGGCTTGCCCAGTGTTCACGGTACAGTGACTCCGTGTCTGCATTTTGGCCTTAGCAAAACTTGCTACTGTCCCTGAGGTCTCTCATATAGGAGATAAATGATATTCGTTTACAAACTCAGCTAGCTACAGCTTACATTCAACATTTCTCTCTCTTCCCCATTTATTCATGCTTTTGCATTATTTGTGTATTTGTTTAGCTCCTCTTTAAGGTTAAACACACCTTTGCCCCCCATCTCCAGTTCACAGTAGGTGTAAAATAAATGCTTATTAAATAAATACATGTATGGATATATAAATAACCAAAATCATTTAAAGCTTATTAATGAAAATAAAATTTATTATTTATTTAAAATGTTTTTATTGATTTTAGAAAAAGAGAAATGGAAGGGAGAGGGAGAAATATTAATGTGCTAGAGAAACATTGATCTGTTGCCTCCTGTTTACACCCTGACCAG